CGAGCATGGCCCTTTGGGGGAGGGAAGGAGCCTCTCAGGCTCTCTCGATCACGGCAGAAAAACTCAAAACAGCTGGTGCTCTAGGACAGTCAGACGCAGGAGGGTGCCACCACTCAGGACGCACCCGCCCGGGCCAGGCCCCAGGCCCCCGGTGTGCACGTGAAGGCCTGAGGGACGCACTCCCTCCTTGCTGGGCCAGCGCGGAGGCTCAGAGATGGGGTGGCTTGCCCTGAGGCACAGCCAAGTAGAGGCGGCCCCCGGCAGAACTAGACCTTTGAGACCTAATAGGCAGGCAGAAGCCAGTAACGAATCTTGCCCGCATGGGGCCGAGGATGCAGCGAGAGGCCAGGGGCTCGCCTGGGAGTCTCGGTAAAATGTTTAAGAGCACAGGACAGTGAGTGAAAAGAATAAATATCTGGCATTTATCTCCATTTTATACTTCACAAAATGTCTTCGTAAATGCTATCTCCCTTGATCTTTATTACGATAACTGCCTTTAATAGCTATAATTTTTTATAATAGCTTTATTGAGATGTGATTCACATATCATACAATTTGCCCATCTGAAGCACACAATTCAGTGATTTTTTTAGTACGTTCACGGCATCGTGCAGCCATCACCACGATCCATCTTAGACCATTTTCCTTACCCCGAAAGTAAGAGCTGTCATTTTTTGAGCTCCAGTTATGTGCCAGTGGTCCACTTTACTTCTCCACGACCCCGACTGACTCTGCAGTGTGGGACATCTACTTTGCAGATGAAGCCGAGGCCCGGGGACACCCAGGCCACTTGCCTCTGGCCATAGAGGTCCTGAGTGACAAAGGACAGATCCAGGTCCAGGTCTGTAGCTTCAGAGGACTGTGCTCCTCTGTCCACCATTCTCCATCCCAGACGGGGTCCCCACAGCTAGATGTCAGACCGCCCATTCCACATCTGGTCAGGAGCCCACTTGCAACCCCGCCCTGGCCCGCTGTGCTGCGGAGCCCGCGGGCAGAAGGCACTGGGCCCAAGCTTCCTGCTGCCTTTGCTGGGCCGATGGCCACACGGATCCAGCAGGCTGGCCGGCCCTTTTAGGGTGCAGTCTCTTCCCAGGGGAGGCCTAGTGGAGAGAAATGAGCAAAAAGTGACCCGAGCAGCAGGAGTCCAGCCCTCGCTGTGCTCCCTACGGTTTCGGGGTGTGGGCGGGGTACGCGCACTGGCAACTGATGATTAAGAGTAAATCTCGTTTTATTAAGCACCATTTTCTGTGCCGAGGAAAGAATTTCAGGCCCTGAAGTGAACGTTCGTCTACAGACGTGCGAGGTGAGGCTCTGCTTCCACGGAGACGCTGGCTGCGGTCGAGGGGCCGTCCCTGGCGTCCTGACACTCGGGGTGGCTGCTCCAGCTCAGTACCCCCACCTCTGGCCCTTAGAAACGGCGCTTTGTTTCATTTTTCTCTAATGCAGAGAAAATAGGTATAAACTTTACATGCGCAGCGCCAGCGTTGAAGGGGGCATCTCGGGCTGCGTGTGCGAGACCCTTCTCTCAACTCACATCCTCTTACAGCTGTCGGGGGCAGAGCCCTGTGCTCCCAGGTATGATGGCTGAGCCCACCCTCGGGACACGGGCACGGACACTGGTGGCTGTGGGGTGGGGGTGGTGAGCACCCCGGCAGGCCTGGCAGGGAGGGCGGGTAGGAGGTGAGACTCCCCGTGGAGGCCATGTCTGGTGGGGTCTGACAGCGTGGGGAGTGGCCCCCTGGAGGAGGGGGTGAAGGGTGGGGAGTGGCGGGCCAGCGTCCGAGCCGAGGGCCCCGGGAGCGCGGGCCCCGTGCAGAGAGGGCAGGGCCAGCGTCGAGGCTGGCTCCCGACTGGCACCTGGAGGCCGCGGTGCGTTATTTGCACTCTGTTTGCCCATCTGTGAAACGCAGGTGGTGACACAGGCTCCCCCTGAGTGTGAACTGAGAGTGTTCAGGCCAGATGGTCATCTTCTGAGAAGCTGCTTCATCAGCAAGAAGCCGCTGTCCCCTGACAGCCACTCTGGTCCCTGCCCTTGGCTTTCGTTCAACTCACGGAATCAAAACCGAAGGTGCAGGTGGGCCCCACACAACCTCCAACGTCCAGATGAGCTGGATGCCTCAGAAACATAGACTTTTACAACGGAAAGAGAGCCACGCACCCCCGACGCTGGTGTCTCCTGAGCTGCTCCCCACGAAGGGACCACATTCTGTGCACGGAGCAGACGAGAGGCCGGGGGACTGGACACAGACCCCCAGGCCCTGCCTTGTGCATCAGCTGCACAGACCCCTCACCCAGCTCTCCGTCCCTGTAGCTGCTCAGGGCGAGCACCTGCCGGGTGTGCGCCTGGAGCTCCCGTGAACGGGGACACCTCTCTCGTCACCGCACACTGCAGGTGTCCAGGCCTGGCCAGGAAGCCTGCGCCTCCCGCCTGCCGTCTCTGTGGCCTTGGGCAGGTTACTTTACTTTCTGCGGCCTGTGCACAGCCCCTCTCTCAGCAGCTGTGACGACGGAGAGGGTGGTGGCCGGGAGCTCGCCCCGGGCGGCCCGTGCTGGGCGCCGCTGCCCTGGTGTTTGCGATCGCTGACGATGCTCAGCTGGGACAGCGCCGTGCTCGGACTTTTAGAATGTGCTGCGTCTTTCCAGTTAAAGATGATAATAAGAAAGGATTTTTTCCCCCGTAATCGATCTGTGAGGCTTAAGGAGAAAATGCTCTTCTCTTTGGGTGTGATCCAGATGCCCGTGTTCACACCATGTTCTTGTCTGCCACACGCCCCTCTCGTTCAGAGTGTGTGACTCGGGAGGCCGGCTGCTTCGTTTCACTCGGGTCGTACGTCCTTACAAAGCAGAGAATAGGCAGGTCTTCTGCGGTCGGATACCCGCCTCTCTGATGCCCACGCAGATTCAGAGCACCAGCCTCCGGGCCGTCAGTTTTCGCCCAGAGAAAGCGCGGTGTGACTATGTGGCTGGCCCTCCTAAAGCCGAGTCCTCGGTTTGTGCTCAGCTGTCATCATCATGATTCCCCCGGCGAGGTTATCAGCTGTTCAAAGACTGAATCAGATGATACGGTATTTTAAAAACCAGTGCTTTTTTAGAGACTCCAAAAATCACAGCACCTTTTTTTAGTGCCAACTCTTGACTATTATTGTCACATTTGGCCATAAAATTAAACATGAAAATTGGCATTCAATAGCGGTATTAATTTTATTTAACTCTGACTCATCAGAGATGAGCAGAGTGGGACGGTGGCGGGGACCGTCCGGGCGGAGGGCCGGGGCGGGGCGCACACCGAGGATGTGGGTTTAGATCAGAGCCGCGTTGGAAACCTGAGCCTCGGCTCTCCCTGGACACCCACGGTGACTTCCTCGGCTTCTCCCAGCCTCTCCGTCCGTGATGTGGGGTCACTCGCCGTGACAGCGGCCACCGTTTACGCAGGCCTCTTTGTGTTCTGGGCCCTGTGCTCGCCGTTTCGTATCCAGCATCTTATGGAATCGGCACAAAATTGTACAAGTGGGGTTTATTAGCCCCAGAGGTGAAGAAGCTGGGCTGCAGTGTTTAGCGCCCTGCGGGGACTTTCGGACTGTGGGGGACACCTCCCCTCCAGGAAGAAAGGTGCTGTCAGGGCTCATGTGATTGGACAGGCCTAGGGCACAACGGACATCTGATCACGTGTTCAATGACATCTGTGGACATCGTGTCTCTGGAGACGTGTCTGGGGCCTGGGTCTCTCCTCCATCTGGGGTTCAAGTCTCATCCCTACAGCTGTCTGGAGGGACCCTCTCAAGGCGCCAGCCACATTTGCGTACGTCGTCACCCTCATTTACAGAGTGGCCGGCGACCCAGCGGCACGCTTCCCATTTTACACAGGAAGCTGGGCTGCTGAGAAGTCCAGTGTGTGGCACATACACAGGTGACAAAGAAAGCCCTCCTCAGTGGGGCCACCAGCCTTGCTCTGGAGACCGCTCCCTGGCTCAGAGGCTGGGGCGGCAGCGAGGGGGAAGAGGTGTGCGTCAGGGTGCCAGGGAAGGCCCGTAACTCAGCCAGGGCTGCTGCAGTGCGACAGGCATGATTCTGGGCCTGCGAGACTGTGGTCAACAAGACCCAGAGATCTTGACCTCAGGGAGCTCAGTCTAGTAGAACTGATAGGCAGTTAAGTCCAGAAATAAATATTTCCAGCTCGTGACAAATGCTAGGACAGAAATAAGTCGAATGCTGCAGTGGAGAACGAGGCGAGGGGGGATGGAGAGAAAGCCGCCAGGGATGGGGGGGACCGGGAGGACCTTTCTTAAGCTCGAACCTAAAGAACAAAGGCTCCAGCTGTGCCAAGGGTCAGGAGAAAATGCTCCCTGCCTAGAGAGCAGTGAGCAAACAGGCTAAGGCAGGAAGCGCCTACTGTGTTCCAGAAGCTGCCAGAAGGTCGAGAGGGCTGGGTCCAGCCAGCAAGGCCGGGAGCGCTTGCAGAAAACGTGATGCTCGAGCAGAAACCTGAGGGTGGGCAGTGGCTCAGGAGGAAAGGGGGTTGGGCGCAGGGGGCTGGAAGTGGGCAGGTGGGCGCCGTGCCGCCGCTGGCACCTGGTGCGTGTGAGCAAGCGCGTCTGGCCAGGATGAAGAGCGAGGGGATGGGCAGGCCTCTGATGATGAGGCTGCTGTTCCCAGGGGGTTCTCGGGGTCCCCATGGTTAAATAATTGCTAGTCTGTGATTTTCCACATGGGGTCTTGTCCGCCTTGTCCTGTTCCAGAATTTAAATTTTCTTCTGGGGCACCTGAGCCTTCTCCGAGGCCAGAATCTATGGCCGTCCTCAGTTCTAAACTGTGTGTCGAACCAGCTCTGAAGCCAGTGCTACCCTAGGAGTCTATTATTCCATTTTCTTGGAATGAATCCGCTTTGAATTACGATAATGATTCATTGTACCGTCTCACGCCGGCATGTGCTGATTCTCCAACAGCCAGCAGAAGAAATTGTCCTCCTGATTAATTCTCCGCTGTGTTTCCCCTTCTCTTAGAATGGCGATCCAAGTGGACAAGTTCAACTTTGAGAGTTTCCCAGAATCCCCTGGGGAGAAGGGGCAGCTGGAAGGAGAGCGGCAGGCGGCCCGGAGCCTGGAGATCAACAGCAAGCTGGGCATCCGCTGGGGACTCATATCCTTTTGTGGTGGGCCCCTCTGGGACTTGGTGCACCCCCCTCGGGGTTATGAGGGGACCCCACGGGGTTAGCCATCAAATTTTAGCCACAAGTAGCCCAGCAAAGCCATGGCAAGGAAGTAGGGACCAAGGAGCCTGCATCGCCCTAGCCCCTCACCACCTCCAGGCGCCGCTCGTGAAGGGTTGATTCAGCTGAGAAAGCCGCCTTGGCCTCGGACCATGTATTTCCTGCCGCCAGCCTGGGCATTCGCGTTAGTGACAGGTTTTCAAGGCCACCTCTCAGTGCTGGGCCTGAGGAGTCTCACAGGCTGACAGCCGAATGTGGGGTGCGATTGTCTGGAAAGCCGCAACTGGCGTGCGCGTCTGACCAAGCCACGAAGGGGCCATGTTGGGGACCGGGCGGGTCTCCAGAAGGACTGTTCTGTGAGAGTGTTTGTGAAATAGTGGACCCCGCCCTGGGCTTCGGGTCAGCGCCTGGCTTGTGGCAGACGCTCCGCTGGCGGAGGTGGGGGGCGGCATCCTGGAGAAACCAGGCGCCCGTGTTTATGGACGCGTGTGGTCGGCGGTCTTGACAGAGCGCCTGCTTTGTCCCGGGTATGTCGCGAGGCCCCTGAGCGGCTGAGGGGCAAAGACGAGGCCTCGGTGCAGCCGCGCCGTCTGAGGGTGTGGCTCTGTCATCTGAGAATTAAACGTGCTGCGGGCGCAGGGACTGGATGCTGTGCCAAGCGCCCTGAGGTTCAGAGGAGGAAGCTGCTGTTGGGGGCAGGGGGCAATTAAAGGAGACTTCGGAGGAGGTGACCTTAGAGCAGGCTTTTTAAGGGTGGGTGGACGTTTATCCACGGGGACGACGGGGAATGCCCCAAGACGTCCTGGGATGTGAGAGGGTGGCCGCCCGGAGAGCGACCCCTTGCAGGGGCAGCGCCGACGTGGTTGTCTGTTCATCTTATCGCACGCCGATTCTGTCGGCATGGGATGCTCACAGCTTGTGCAGTCTCAGATCGTCCTAGACTGTCTCTCTGGAAAGACCTCAGTCTGTGGGCGACATAGGTTCCAGGAGCTGTGGCAAGTTTCTTTATGCAAACTAAAGTGGAATTGGGGCAGGTAGACCTCTCTCCAAAAAGCTCGTGACGAAATAAGCACGTTACTCGTAGACGGGAGGCCTTGAGAAGGGGCGCTCTCAGCAGAATGCCTGGGGACTCGGGGGACCACCCCCGTACGTCGTGGAGTTAAGGCGCTCATCTTTTGTACAGAGAGGACTCTGTGAAAAGGTCGGGGTGAGTGGACTCGTCCTGCTCTTAGCTCCACCAGAGCTCAGCACAGAGTCAGGGTCCAGTCGGTCCTCGCCGGCCGAATAAGCAGAGTGACAAGCGCGGTGAAGCTGGCGTGCTCATGGCTTGCCGGGCCTGCTGCCTCCGCCGTCTGATTGACGCCTTCCACGTCTCTGATTCGGCACTGCTGTTCCATCGAGGAAACGGAATCTCAGAGGTGAACTGACTGACTGCGAGTCCAGCCAGGAAGTGGTGGAGCCGGGGACCAGCCCAGGTGGGATTGCCGGCACAGGGCCCACAGCCAGTCCCCGTCCCCAAGGGAGAGGGTTATGAAAACGATCCGGTCTCTACGGGCTCGACCAGAGGAGGCTGTTAGCTCTCACGTGCTGGCATCTAAGTGATGCGGGAGCCGGCGAGGACTTGGATCTTTTTGGTGGGACTCAGGTCGTTCAGGCTCCATGACCTCCGGGCGTGGAAGTCCCCGAGCGAGGCAGAGGACACCTGCACCTGGGTCTTGCAGCTTCGGCTTCACGCAGGGGACTCTGTGCCACGCCAGAAGTCCTGGCTGGGTCTGATTCAGCCCCAGCTCACTGTCACGCAGCATCCGGTGGGGGAAGGGGCAGTGCGCTTGGGGGTGCCAGAAGGGAAGGATTCATCCACCTGAGTGGTCTCACTGTGGCTCAGGGAAAAGTGGGGAGCCTGGGAATGGGAGCCCATATTCTACAGGATTAAGCCTCACTAGGTGCCAGGGCACATGGCAGCTTGTCCTGGTGCTCCACCTCCACTTCCCGGGTGCTGCCCTGGGCTGGCCCAAGTCACCCATGTCGCTCAGCAACTCCCAGGGCGTTTCGTCATCCTGTCTCGTGGATGAAAACTGCCTGTCAAGTCACGTGTACAAAGCAGGAGCTGGCACTCGAAGCCCGTTAGCCCGCCTCCAGGCCCCAGGGCCCTGCCAGCGTGTGCCGCCTTCCACGGGGTCCTGCTGCCCATCAGAACAGTCAGAAAGAACCAGAAATGCCTTTGAGCTTCTCTCCTTTCAGTTTGACTCAAGTAAGACGTTGACTTCCCTATTTTCTGTACTCACCTAATAATCCAGACGACTGGCATTTACTGAATAACTGCCACGTGCCAGGCACATCCGTCTCCTAGATTTACGAGCGACCGCCCCGATCGGCGAATTCAGCGGAAGAGTGAACGTGAGGACATTCTCTCTCGCCCGCATCTGGTACTGACATCTGGCCCGGGCTGACGTGCAGGCCCCTGCTATTGTAAACCTGAATTCGGGCAGATGGGAAGACCACAGATTTCATTGGCTAGTTATTCCATTATGCATTTCAGTAGCATTTTCTCAATATTTAGACATTATGGAAAACTTGAGCCTAATTTGACACCTATTCCTAGTAATGAAAACGGTCCCTGTGTAGCGCGTGAAGCTGGATAGTCATGTTTCAGGGGGAATTGTGGCTCTTGAGTAGATCCACGCACACCTGTCTTCGTCATACCCGGTCCTCGCCCGGCTAGTGAGGGATACGTTGTGTTGCCCCCGTGTGCTGGGCCCTGGGGAGGCCCCGGCTGAGGGCAGGGCAGATACAGAGATGGACACGTATGGGGCAGCTGGGAGGGCTGAGGTGGGAGCCTGCCCATGGGAGGGCTGCCACCTTCCAGAGCCTGCAGAACAGCAGGGACCTAAGTCTGTCCCTGTGACTGGTACACAGTGTGCAGACTGGAGAGGCCAGCAGGACTCAGGGGCCTCAGTGCCACTGAGGAGTCGAGCTGGCCGGCCTACCTTCCCGCCTTGCTTCCCCTCCCCCCACCCCGTAAAGAGTAAGCTCAGTGACTGCCGCCTCCTGTCCTACCTCAGCCGGTTCCTTTCACCTCCCAGGCTCTCCGGCCTTGGGGACCCAGTGCACCCTCCCAGTACATCCCTGCTGGTGCAGCCACTCCCTGCTTCCAGGTCCCTCCTGTCACATGCCCTCACCTCTGCTCTGTGGAAGAGGCGGGGCAGGCTTTATTACACGGAGCCCGGGACCAGAGAGATGACAGTGAAGACACTTAAGGTCACGCCCCTGGTAACTGGCCAAGAGCTGGCTCACCCCAAGCCTTGCGACTGGTCCCATGGGTCTCCGCGCTGTGCTGCATAGGCTGCCGGGGAGGTCGGGAGCCCACCACGGGGACAAGGTGACCTTCAAGCAGGGGGCAGAGGGCAGTGGGCCATCGGAGGTGGAGCACCAGGGACCGAACGGCACTTTGTCCCCGAAGCTGCGTGGGTCTGAGGTGGAATTTCCACTCTGGCCCCGGCCCAGCCGGATGCGCTAATGCATTCGAAGCTGCCTTTTCCTTTAAATTCCAGGAACCTGTCCCTTCTTTGAAACCCTGTTGACCAGTTTTGTCATCACGCCAGTGAGAAAGCACCTGTCGCACAGCTCCCGTGCGGCTGTTCCTTGGCGCGTCACATTTGCTGCAAGAGGCCAAGGAGGGAACGCTCCGGTCAGCGGGACCCTAGACTCCACAGGTGACCCTGGTGGTCGCCCTCCTGCCATTACACCCCCACCCCCGCCTTGGTTACTGCCTTGTCACCTGCCAGGTACCAAGCAGGATAGTAGCATTTTTCTTAAACCAAACCTGCAAAACAGGTATTGCTTACTTCTTTTTAAAAAATAAGTGAATTTTGGAAGTAACTCACCTGAGATTGCACGGCTGGCAGGACAGCCAGGACCCCAAAACTGTGCTGTTTTCCTGTTGACTAGCGGCGGGGTCACCTGTGAGGATGTCATAGCTCCTGAGCCTGGGAGGTGTCAGCAGTGTGAGCCCCCTTTCCTACCAGGAGGCCTCGTGCTGCTCCGGTGACCTGGCCTCAGCTGTGCAGAGAAGATGGTGGCCAGGTGTCACCTGGGGCCGTCTACCGTGTCCTCTCTTCTGCCTCCAGTGGGACCTGCCAAAAGGGCCAGGGTTGTAGTTCTGAGCATCCCCTGGGGTGGTAGGTTTGGGGATGTTTGGGACATGACTGCGTCTGTTTTCACTTCCCCTCTATAGTTCAGGAAAGGGGAAGTGAGTGTCAGCGTTTGACCAGGGCCTCTACGGATGACCTCACGCGTCCACTCTCCCAAGCCCACTCGGTGCTCACCTCTAGTTAGAGCAGTTACGGAGCACGAGCCCTTTCCCTGAGGACTGGTCTCACTTGCCTTGAGGTCAGATGACATCGTCCACTCAGCAGCTATCTGTTGGTGACCTGCTGGGAGCTGTGGGGAGTGCTGAGTAGAACCAGTTGTGGACCGGGCCTGGCAGAGTGTGATCTCGTTCTCTGGGCCCAGCGCTGTTGTTAAAACCACGTGGCGCATGGACGTCCGCGTCTCATTGACGCGGGAGCCCAGGGTGCCGGCTCGGCTGCAGTTTGCTGAGCGCTGAGAGGCACGAGAGGCACCAGTGAGATTTGTCCTAAATGAAGCCTGCTCGCTTCCCCGGGGCAGCCCTGCTCGGACGACTCGTGTGGGAGCAGGTGCGGGACCAGCTTGGAGCAGGCTTGGTATTGTCTCACCGTCTCATTTTCCTTGTTTTTATTGCGAATCTCCCTTCAGACAGCGTTTCAGGTGTTGCTGACATAGCAGAATCCGAGCCCATGTGAGACTCGTGACCAGAACTGGGTGCACAGTTCAGCTGATCCCACAAAGGCCATGGACCTGGACCATCTGGGCAGCATCTCTGCCAGGTGGTCTGATAAGCACGCGCATC